AAAGGAACATCTTCATCATTGATTACAAATAAAGATTTTGATATTCTTGGGAGATTGGAGCAAGGTATGATAAGTAAGTATATTCGCTAATGTATTATTATTTATTATACTTGAGGCATAATGAAATGTATTTATATATTTTGTAGAATTACTTTATACAAAAGATGGTGCTAGTTGTTCAACCTCTTCAACCTCTGTTGCGCTCGAAGAGGACTAAACGGTAAAGAATTCTAAAGTTTTATATATGCATTTTCTTTCCACTCTTGAGCTACAATTTCACTTGTGTCAAAGAATTCACCAACTATTTCACTTGTGTCAAATAATGAATTGCGGCTCTGTTGCAAACTTGATGGAAGTGTTCAGACAGTTGGGTTTTTGTCATCAGAGGGGAGAATCCTGATGGAAGTATAGGAATGAAATGTGTTCCAGAAAATTGTGTTGCTAAAGACAATCTTGAGAATCTGACTCTTGATACCCCTATAAATTTACAATGTAACTTTAAGATTTTAAATCTTGTTAGTTTTGTGAATTATAGAAGGATGTTGCACATTCCCTATATAATCAACAAGTATTGTATCAAAGAATTCACCAACTATTTCACTTGTGTCAAATAATGAATTGTGACTCTGCCACCATAATTTTTGAGAAATTACTTTACTATATCTTAAGGTAAAATCACATATCATATGTTTTAAAATTGTCAATGACCATAAATTTTGAGAAATAACCAATTTTTTTTTTAAATTAGTGTTTTTAACATAAAATAATTTTAGAACTTTTAAAAATAAAAAACTATTTTTGATATAAAACTTTATTTTTTTAAATTGGTTTTAAAACTGATTTTTTTATAAAATTGATTTTGAAACTGGTTTTTTATAAAACTGGTTTTGAAATTGATTTTTTAAAGAAAATTAAAAACTGGTTTTTAGAAAAATCAGTTTAAAATTGGTTTTTTTAAAAAATTGGTTTTTGTGAGAAATTGGTTCAAAACCGAACCGATCCACATATAAACCGATTATAGAAATATAAACCGCTTTTAATGAAGTAGTTTTAAGATCCAAACCAAATCATATATATGGTTCAATTTGATTTGGTTATTGATCCATGTACACCCCTAGTCAGATGCATAAATGCGGCCGAAAAACCAAGAAGCAGACTGAAATTGAAGCACCCCCTAATCAAACTGAAAACTGCTGAAAACCTTATTAGAAACAAAAAGCAATTACGAAATAATGCGAGCGAAAGATTTCCTACGTAAAACAAAAGTAGTGTGTTTGAGAATGATTACCTTCAAGAGCTCTGTGTGTAAGGCATGAATGTGAAACCATATAAGTCAAGGACAATCAAGAATGCAAAACATAAACATCAAGGACAATCATGACAGCCATCCCATCTGTGACAATCAATATTCAAACTTTAAGTTTCTTATGACAGGCATCACCAAGCAACACTTTATCAAGGGCTCGAGATGTTAGATCTTTGACCTTCATTATCAAGAATATCAAATCTACATTAGGGCCTATGGAGATTATTGTTAAGCAGAAAAACAGTGAAGATAATATTACCAAGAAAGATGATAGTGATTACACCAATCCAAATATGACAAAGCTACCCGATGAAGCTGAAACTGTCCATGTGAGTGAAGGCACTACACAAAAAAATGGCAGAAGAAATCAGTGCTACAAATAAGGACTATGTATATATTAATAATAGCACGTGTTAAATGGCAAAAGAAATCAGTGTTACAAATGAGGATAATGTACCGAGCACACAAAAATCCAACATGGAAATAGCAGGTAGTGCAGAAAATAATCTCAAGAACAAAGATAATGTATAGAGTATAGGACAAAGCTGCATGAGTACAGCAGAGTAGAATCACACTATAGGCAGATAGATATACTTTCAAACCAGTTCATCACATCAAACTGTAGACTGAACTCAGACTTCCAATAACGTTTTCCTGCTGAATCTTTACAGGAAGAGAAGGTTTTTGAATTTGCCAGTAATGTACATGCTGGTTCATTTTTGTTAAGAACCATCATCTGAAAGAAATATATAGTGAGTGCGAGAGATCCAAATTTCCAAGAACTTTTCACAGTCTTCGACTCCAACAGTACAATAACCACATTGAAACTTAATAAAGCATTGAACAAAATCATTTGACACATATTTATGAGGCATATTTACAATATTACATGTCTAAAATGTAAGAAAACTTTCAAAAAATTGATGGGAAATTGCGGGCCTGATAAGAACAACACGCTCAGTTGATATCGCTCAGCATAATTGACGTAGCGCATGAGATGAGTATATGTATAGATATGCTGCCCAATATCAAGACAATAATAAGACTGCAACAGAAACATTATATCATAGAAACATTATATCAAACATGTGGAGGACACAAAAGTAAGAAAAATAAACAGTTTTATAATCATAAATTGATTTTAACTCGTAGTTATTTTTCTCTGTCTAGCAGATACAAAAGCCAACCAACATATGATCCGCCTAGGAGAAGTAGTATAGGCCTTTTATCTTGAGACGTCATGTGGTTATGCTTTACATTTTTTGTTCTAACAACTCCTTTGATAAGGGTGCTACAAAATAAGAACCATAATTTTATAGAATTAAGTGGGTTTTATGAAAACAAAATAATACCTAGCAAAGGAACATTACAGTAAAAATAGTGATTGAAACACAATCCTTAATACCTGCTTTTCTCTTATCAGATATGATGAATTCCTTCAGATATAGCAGCCTCTTGTCAATCTTCAAAAGGAAAAAAAATTACATACTAATATAAACTCAGAGAGGGGAATTGGCTTCAATAACCAAACCTGAACCTGTGTTTGAACAAACAATTTAATCAAGGAACCTGTGAGATATGTACTTAAGACAGTTCCAAACAACTTGTCAGCCCATGGAAACATCGACCACGTAAAATTTAGAACCCAATCCCAGCTGATCAGTTCCAAACAATTTTGTTTAGCATTGTTGTTTGATATTACAGTAGTGGTGAAGGAACTATCACCGTAGTGGTAGAATTTTTTAACAACAAAAACAACTTATTCATATAAGAGTAAAAACACAAAACAACTTATTCCTAAAATACACAAAACAGCTTATGAGAGAGTGAAAGAAGAAGCTCTATCAGGATATAAAGCTTATCATGCTACATATAAACTCTAGAAAGGCAAACAGGGTATAAAGCTCTATCACATGCAAATTGAATTCTACAAGAGCTTCTACTGTTAGTAAGCATGACTATAAATTACTCATTGGAGAAGGAGCTTTTGTAGTAGAACTTTGATGTGCATAGCATGTACGACAGGAGCTTGTGCATAGTAGTCATGCTAACCTGCATCAACGTACAACCTTCTGTAAACCATATAAGTCTTGCAACACAATTCAAGCCTTAAGTATGAGAAAAAAGATCAAAACAGACCCAATTCAATACATACTTGTGTTCAACCAGATTCATACCACCAGGCACCAAGCTTACAAACCTACAAGCATATTATTAAAGTAGGCAGCAAATGCCATGCTCATCATCATGATTCATCATTCAAAAACTGAAATGTCCAACATACTCATACACCAAAGCATCATCAATACTATTAGCAGACCATAACAGATATGCACATACCAAGTTCAAGAATCCCCATGTCATTAACTCATGTCAGATCTGTTGCCATGTTACCATCAAAGTCAACAGGAGAAAACCTACCACGCCTTTCAACATAACAATTGTTTTAGTGTCCTTATTGTGTTAGACAACACCAGGAATTGGAGCAACCTTGCAAAATTGTGACACATTAAGTGGCTGCATTTCAATCAGCAAGATAAAATGCGTATGATTCTGAAGTTGAAAATTTACTTGTACTTCTATGCTTTAATTGATATTCTAACTTAGAACAGCTTAAGCATGAAATAAGAAACACTTAATAGGAAAGACTGAAGAGGAAATTATGTTTGAAAATCTGAAGGTCATACATTTGAAATACACATGAATGCATCTATAACCTGTTCCATTGCTGTTGTGCCTTAGATCATGAAAGATCTACAAAACAAATACACATAAAATCCATTAGATCATGAAAGTTCTCTCATAACATCAACAAAATCAGGTAAATCCTTATATCAAGAAAATTATACAAAACAAATAGACATAAAGCCCATTAAAAACTCCTGAAAATTCTACAAAATAATACACATAAAACTCAATGAAAATAGTCACACTTCTTAATCTCTCTTTTTCACCTTTTGAGTAAATAAGCTATTATGTCATTCTCTATTCAAGATGCATAGGCAAATAAGCAATATGCAGAAAAAAAATGTTCCCAATAGAGCTAAAAATCAATAAAAAAATCAGTAAATCAAAGAGCAGTAAATCAAGAAAAGAGCGTTAAATCAACATAAAGTCGGTAAATCAAAGAAGATACCTTCACTTTGCAATGACTGGAGATGGAGATTGATAAAGTTTCTCCGAAATTAAAGATTTTTCTTCGAAGACTTGCAACCACTTCTCCATATTGCTTGTCTCAATAGCTTCCATAAAGCTTTGAGGTTTCTCTTCAATAGTAAAATTTATATATTGGCTTAAGAAGTACTTTCTTGATGGCTATCTAACTCTCATTGATCTTCTTATTTGAGGTTCTTGTTCTATTTCATCATTCTCTACATGTATTTAAACATAATTTATTTTATATTAAACTCACTTTTACTCAAAAAATAATAATTTTGTGAAATTAATTAATTAAATTCAAAACTGTTATCCTTCTCTCACAAATTAAAAAGTGGTAGCTTGACTAGTATGCATCATCTATTATGTTACTTATAATTATTTCATTTTAACAGAAAAATATCTCGGAGTGAATTTTGTTTTATTTCCTTGTCTTGTTTCTCTATTTTCCTTTCCACAAATCAAACAAAATTGACTATATCCCTATAAAACTACTGGCTAATCCCTTTGCTCAACATTCAAACACAAAAACTCAGAAATGGATAATAAAAAGCCACATGCAGTGCTGATTCCATGTCCATTTCAAGGCCATATCAATCCAGTATTCAAACTAGCAAAAATTCTTCACCTTCAAGGCTTTCACATAACATTCGTCAACACCGAATACAATCACAAACGCTTGCTCAAATCGAGGGGTCCAAAAGCCTTCGATAGTTTCACCAGTTTCAGCTTTGAGACCATACCAGATGGTTTAACTCCAATGGATGGTGATGGATTACCCTCTCTTTTTCAATCAATTAGAAAGAACTTCCTCCAACCGTTTCGCGAACTTCTTTCTAGACTTCATGACTCAGCAAGTTCTGGTCTTGTCCCTCCAGTTACCTGCATAGTTTCTGATATTAACATGTCGTTTACTATACAAGCTGCTGAAGAATTTGCACTACCAAATGTTCTCTTTTTTCCAGCAAGTGCATGTTCTTTCTTGTGTATTTCGCACTTTCGTTCCTTTGTAGAGAAAGGTCTCACACCACTCAAAGGTACTGCTAAATAAAGTTTTTTTCTTTAGAATATAATATAGGGGTGATTGGAGTTTCTAAATATTAACTTTGATATATTCATTATATGCAGATGAAAGTTATCTAACAAATGGATACTTGGAAACCAAAGTAGACTGGATTCCAGGATTGAAAAACTTTCAGTTGAAGGACGTGGTCGATTTTATCAGGACAACAAATCCAAATGATTTCATGTTAGAATTCTTAATTGATATGGTAGATAGAGTTCATAGAGATTCTACTATCATTTTAAATACTTTTGATGAACTTGAGAGTGATGTAATAAATGCTTTATTCTCTATGTTTCCTTCTCTTTACCCGATTGGCCCTTTACCTTTATTGTTAAGCCAAACTCCACATAATCATCAATTAGCATCTCTAGATTCCAGTCTTTGGAAAGAAGATACCAAGTGTCTTGAATGGCTTGAATCCAAGGAACCGGGGTCTGTTGTTTATGTGAATTTCGGAAGCATCACAGTTATGACTCTAGAGCAACTGTTGGAGTTTGCTTGGGGTTTGGCCAATAGCAAGAAGTCGTTTTTGTGGATCATTAGGCCTGATCTTGTCATTGGTGGCTCGGTGGTTATGTCATCCGAGTTTATCAATGAAATTTCAGATAGGGGCTTAATTTCAAGTTGGTGTCCACAAGAGAAAGTGTTGAATCACCCTTCAATTGGTGGATTCTTGACTCATTGCGGATGGAACTCGACCATCGAAAGTATATGTGCTGGAGTGCCAATGTTGTGTTGGCCATTTTTCGCTGATCAGCCAACAAATTGTAGATTTATTTGCAACGAATGGGAGATTGGAGCTGAAATCGATACGAATGTGAAGAGAGATGAGGTGGAGAAGCTTGTGAATGAATTGATGGTGGGAGAGAAAGGAAAGAAGATGAAGCAAAAGGCAATGGAATTGAAGAAGAAGGCAGAGGACAGCACTAGTGCAGGAGGTTGTTCATATATCAACTTAGAAAAAGTTATTAATGAAGTATTGCTTAAAAAGAATTAGAATTATTTTCTGCAATGCAACATTGTACTACTTCTTTGATTTTCTGCTATTTAATGTACTCCGTTGTCAAGCAAAAAATATGCATCTTTTAGAAGTACTATTCTTATCTAGAACTTTTAAAAGAAATCATAAACGGAACACTGTATTTGAAGTTTGGAAAAAGACTCTTTGCACAATTAGAATATTCTTAGCCAAGTCATTATCATCCTATATGAAATATTAAAAATTTATTCATTTAAATAGTCTGAACTATATTAAAAATCCTTTTAGTTTCACATTGGCATTATATCATATGTTTAAATAGGGATCTGGCACAATATCTACCACTCATTTATTTTGAACACAACACTTTTATTTTTATTATATTATTTCAAAATTTTGAAGCTATTGGATCATGGGTAGAGATGTAAATGAATATTCTTGAAGACAAATAATATTATATTTATGTCTGTTTTGTTGGATAAATGTGATATCAATATCCATACGGGTATTCGTTAAACGGATAATCCACGAATTTTAAGATATTTATATACGTAGTTGAACTCCATATGAAACTGTCCTCGTGCCTTTGGGGCGCTAATCTAAGATAAAGGCCTCCAAATAAATTGAAAAGTTGTAGATAAAATTTTTTAGTTTAAAAACCTGATCATGAAGCATGTAATCAATCCTGAATCGGTATCCTTGTAGATGGTGGCGCGGGTTGTTTTGGTAGTCAAGTTTGTTGATGCACCACCTAAAAAGAATTTAAAATTAAATTTTATTTTAAAGTATCCTAACAATATTAATTATAATTTTAAATTTAAATTTAAATATTACCTTCTTGCGTAAGGATATGGAGATTGAAGCGGAGCCACCGGAGATATTATAGGCATGCGTGTAAAAGCTCAAGCTTGAAGAAGTAAAACGCATCCTGACATCTCGGTTACTTTTATGTTTACAGACTTGCACATTTCCCTGTATAGATTGACTAAAATGGCGGAACCCCAACTCAATTTTCCACAATCTTCCAAATCCACAACAAATTGTGTCCATTTTGAGTGTATAGTATTACCGCTTTTGTTAGGAAACAAAACTTGTCCGACAAGGAGTAAGATATAAATACGAGCATGTTTAATTTTATACTCCTCGGGTGACTCCTCGGTTGGTGGTTCATGTTGGTACATGTCTTTAAGCCATGTCAACCTCGCAGTCATTCCCTTATCACTTTGTGGTGGTTCATCCTTAAAATAGAACTCCATGCACCATCACCTAACTCAGATGGACCATTTACCGCTTTTCCATCTACCGGAAGCCCCAATAACATACTCATGTAATTGTGCATTAACGCTATAATTAACCTTGAAACGGATTATGACTGCATGTGGCTTTAGAGGTTTGTGAGCACGAATTCTCCATTTTGAAATATAATTATCATCAATCTGTAATAAAAATAAGTAATATAGAAAAATATTCAATATTTCTATGCAAATTATGAATAAAACTAATATTGTAAAGTCAAAAATAAATAATATGAATAAAGTTGAATAAATCAAAAATACTTACAGCATTGATATGGCCATAATTGTGAAAATGAAGAACTAATTGAAGACTTATCAAAAGAGAGTAGAGAAGACTTATTAAAAGAGAGTAGAGAGTGTGAATAGAATGTAGTGTGTTTGTGGAAAAATGAGGTGAGAGTGGTTGAGTATTTATAGGAAAAATGAGGTGAGTGTGGTTGGTTGGTAGTTGAATAATTTAATTAATTATGGTTGATAGGTAGTAGAGTAATTTAATTAGAGTTGGTAGGTAGTAGAGTAATTTAATGAAAGTTGGATACATATAAATTTGTAATTTATTGCGAATATTGTAAATTACACGGTTTTGTACAGAATGATAAAACCTCATCGGCTGATCTACTGAATCTGACATACAACTCAAATGGTGTTTTATTAACACCAATTCGAAAATCCTCAAACATGTTATATACATCTGTATTTGTAACTAACTTTGTAATATGCTGCATCAAGACTCTATTTTCGTTGATTGTAGTCCGGTTGAAAGATATCTATGTAATGCTCCTATTAATATTTGTGACTTGACGTAATTGATTTTTCAAATGAATTAGTTTAGATCTTTCCATAAGTCGTACAACCAAAGGATTAGAAAATGCATTTCTATAATCAAACATAACAACCTGTGAATTATACGGAATAATGTATACTGAGCAAAGTATCAGACTCATTTTAATCTGATAACATAATCGTTTAATTTTGCTTTTATATGCATGGCACATATGACTTCACGCCAGACTGCTAGGCTTCACGCCATTTGAATTGGCGTAACCCAAGAGTTCACGCCATTTGACTTGGCGCAACTAGGGTATTCACGCCATTTAAATTGGCGCGTGCAAGGTATTCACGCCATTTGAAATGGCGAATACAAGGGATCACGCCATTTGAGATGGCGCGAGTGTACACGGACCAAAGCTTCACGCCATTTAACTTGGCGACAGCACAATAAATCCAACAAATTGCTGTTTGTTTATTAATACATGCATGAAATACATAGTTGTATCTTATTCAAACCTAGTTGTTTCTTATTCAAACAATTGAATATTACATCAAACACAATGCCACAAAATGATATTTCTTGTCTCTTACATTTCAATGGTAATATTTTTACCGATGAAAATATTGGAGTGGTATTTCAAAATACAGATACACATATTTTAAATATTCATCGAAAAAGTGATTTAGCTCACTTGACGGAAAAAATAGAAGAAACTTTACAACAACATGTAACTTCTATTTTTTATCGATTTCCAATAGTTAATCCAGTTGATCACAATGTCACATACAACACTGCAAAAATCGAAGACGATGAAGATGTTCGTTCAATGCTTCAATGCCACTCAAGGTTTTACAGTCAACAAGCAATGGAGTTGTATATTTGTTTTCAACAAATGCATGAAGTATTTCCAACACAATCATCACAAACTCATGCATATCAACAAAGTCAGGTCTCCCAACAAGAAGAGTCTGTCCAAGCACAACATAACGAGCCAATATTTCTGGAAGAGGAAGTGGGTGATGATACTGACTCCGACGATGCCAGACAAATTAATTTGTTTAGTGGGTCCAGTGATGAGTCAGGTGACGATGCCAGACAAATTAATTTGTTTAGTGGATCATTATTCCTCAAGGGATGCCCCAAATTCATCAAAACCCAAAAGTTGCTAAATTAGGGTTTCATAGAAAAAGTCAACCAAACTTTGACCAGGCATAATTTCTTCATACTTTATCAGAAATTTTCCATCCAAGGCTCATTTTGAAAAGGATGCAATTCCCTACAATTCATCTTCATCCTACAAGCTAAAATTATGCACTCATCAAAAGATATGAATTTTTACATTATTGGTCCTTTTGAAAAGTCAACAAAAACACCTTTTGGATCAAAGATTCTTACATGAACATGGAAGATCCAAGTGAGATAAATTCAAAAGGATTGTTTTAAAGGACATCCTAAGCTTTCTAAAAAGTCCAAGAACACCCTCTTAGGGTTAAAATTGAGGGAGATATGTATTGTCAAAATTGACCATTTTTTAGAAATGTGCATGAAGTCAATATTGATCAAAATGACGTTTTTTCCAAATGGGTCCATGTTTTCTTGTTTGAAACTTGTTCCTAATATGGCCCACGACCCCTGAGCTTATCCACCTATTATTTTATTATTTGTATTATTTATTTTGGTTTTTTATCCATTTAAATCAAAATAAATCAATTTAAATAGTAGAATAATAAAATAAAATCAAAGATTTGATTTTATGAGCATATTATGAGTCCATGAACAGCTAGCAAATCAAAAAATTCGTGCAAGAGCTAATTGATTGGAAAAGATCTTAATTTGGTCTATTTTGGAAACAAATCATACAAGGCAAAGAATGAAATCAAATCTCCATAATTTGCAAAAATATGATCAGTTTTTGTTGACCTAAATCATTCTATGATATATACACAACATTTCCAAAGCATAAGGAAGGGTTTGGGGTCGTGAAAACAAGGAAAGAAGTTGCAAATTTTGGAAGAAAAAGTGCAGACCGTATTCTCTTCCATAGGCCGTTTTAAGTAATTCCAAAGCCAACAATCTATTCTTGGACGTGTTCTGAAACTATTCCAATCATCCTCAAGGCCAAAAACATCAAGAAACACGACTTATAGACCCACGGTTTGCACATACCATCTTGAACTTGATTTTACAATTTACGCATGATTAATCACTTTTAAGCATAGAATTGTGTTTGTATCATCATTTGAGATGTTTTGGTTTAATTAATTTTGCATTTTGATGCATATATTGATGATCACCATTGTTAGGGTTTGCTTTTCCGTTTTAGGGTTTCTCTATACAGGTTAAATTGGACCAAGAAAAGAACACCATGATGCTCGTGAGATCAAAACGAATTGATCTATACAGCTAGAATTAATGTATCATGCGTCTTGTGAATTTTTGAAACTTACAGGGTTATAGATATGGAGTTTTGTCTGTAGGTAAAAGTAATTGGTCTAAAACGACGGACAGGGAAGAGGATGATAGCGTGGCTAACTATTATTGGTCCATTTGAATAATGACGCGCGCGTTTGGGAAAGACCACTTTGTTTCCTTTATATTTTATTTATGTTATTATATTTACAACTAACCATCCCAGCGTTTTCTCTATTTTTCTTAACATTTAATTGCAGGTTCTGTACATTATGTTGTCAGGCGTCTATCATACATCCAACCATCCAGCCATTGGATTCATCATCAATCCAGATCCAACGCCCAACGCTCAAATCATACCATGGACCATCAGAAAGAGTATCACACTGGATCTAGCGCGTTGACCGGGCTGAGCAAAGGATTTGGGCTCAATGAAATTCAGCTTCACACCCCCAATCTGCTTTCACCACAGGCCCAATTACCTTCTTTCTTTACTTTCTTTTGTTTTATTTGATTAATTTCTTTTTTACAAAACAACAAAA